CTGCAATGATTTGCCGCCAATGAATACCGCCGAATCTGTCGATTCATCTTGTAGTGGTGCGTCAAATGCAACGTAGATTCCCATCCAATTAATTTGAATTTGGTATTGATGACGTGAAAAACAATAACGGTAACTCCATTGAAAGGATTCAAAACTAAAGTAACGAGACAATTTTTTAAAATGTAAGGAGTAGAAGTAAAAAGTCGCCATAAAAATAAGTAGTAAAGTAAAAATATCCGAAAAATCTACTTGAGTACAGTAACGAAGTATTTGTACTTCGTTACTTCCCATCTCTGAATATTAATAACGTTAAGGTTAGAATTAGGCGACCTGACCATGCAGGTAAAGGCAGCCTTTGAAAAGATCAAATTCAATATGAATTCAGCACCACCAAGCCAAACATCCTGGGTCACATCGGTAAAAATCAGATCTGTGTTCTTCAGACTGTCATGAAAAGATCAGATACGGGTCCTATATGAGATTTGGTTCACTTCAGGCTGCAGTGTGAACATCGCCTACGATGAATGTCAGTCTAACTATTTTTTTGTCCCACAAATTATGTTTGCTTTGTAAAATATAATTAGGGATGCTTTCACCCCTGATGAAACTATCGGGGGAACTTTCCTAAATCGACCAGAAATGTCAATTTCACACCTCAGTCCGGTTTGGTTCACTTTAACAATGCAGTATGAAAGCAGAGCAAACCTCCTGGACAGCTGCTCCTATGGGAGGAAGCTACTGAGGACGAGGAGCAGGCGATGCAGGAAGTTTGTTTTTACTAGTAGGACCGACTCTTTCTCCCTTTAGTGTACTTTCCCTTTCATTTGCTGGGTGGAATATTTGCTTTCTGTCTTTCTTTTATGGGCAGAACAAACAGTTTGCTTATTTAAACCAGACTTCAGTTCAGATAAGCATTAACAGCTTCCTAAGTGAAATGAGCTGGACCATTTTAAGCGAATCAAAATGATGGGACTACCTGTTCCTTCCAGGAATGTGGGAAAAAAAGCCAATTCTTTACTGTGAAATCTGACAGATTTGGATCGATTTCATCATGAACAATTTAAAGGATACCTCAGTTAAACCTCCTCTCTGCAAGATATCTGATGCTTTTCAAACTCTCTGACTCGACGTCTCAGGTTATGTTTCTACCATGAAGAGAAAACTAACAAAAAATAACAACAAGATGAAAAAGCTCTGCTGCCTTTTTCCAGCCTGAGCTCATTTAAAATACAGAGGTGAGGAGGAAACCTGCTCCAGGTTTGGATTCTGTTAAAAAAAAAAAGGTTCTTAGGGCTTAAAGGTCAAGACCTGCAGCTCACAATGAAAGAATCATTACGAGTCGTGATGTGAGACACTTTTACTGATATCAACTGATATATGGAACATTTTTAAGGAAGGTCTGTTTTTCTAGCAGCAAGATTCAAAATAACAGTTTGCTAATTTTAAACACCAGAGTTCTGCAGTCCTGGAGTTTACATGCTGAGTCACCTGTGATACAGTCCAAGTTACTGCATTAGTGGAGAATAGAATAGATTCAGCGGGAAAATTTGGGTGTAATACAAAAAGATTTACAGAAGGAAGCTTTAAAAGTTAAACCGTTCAGCAGAAGATAAAAAATTCCAACAATCCACTAAGTTTCTGCTCCTCTGTGTTTTTGTGTCACTCAGAAAGCGGACGACAGAGAGAAGAGGCAGGAAGCCCATCGCTTCCATTTTGACGCCATGTGAAGGAGGAGCGCTGCATGACGGAGGAGCCTCCTTTCCTCCTCCGCTCCGTCGGCCACAATTTCAAACATCCACTCATTTTGACCCAGACTCATTCCTGGGGCCTGTAATTCCACACTTATGTTCCCTAAAGAGTTTCTGTTTTTATCCTTTTCAGTCAATGAGCAAAGTGTGAAATATTTATGTTGCATTTGATTTATTCATTCCAGTGTTCGAAGCATGGGGGGGGGGCATCCTTCTAGGGATTACAGTGAAGATTTAAGCAGCGATTTATCACGACTGACTCTGTTTCGCTCTGAGATTTAAATGCCAGCCATGCAACCTGCTTCTACCTGTTTGTTGGGGAAAATGTTTACTAAAGCGAAGCATCTTCTGGGTCAAATGTTAAAAAGGGTGTAATATTAACTGCTACTGCTTTTCATCTTTGTATATTTTATTCACATCAGGCTTCTTCTGAGAATCTAAACTGATCTGAATGGCCTGATATTGCTTTGACCAGGAGCTGCAGAAGAACCGGCTCTGTTCTGTGTGTTAAAGCTTCCAGCCTCACCTAACCTGATGGAACAGCTTCCCAGTCTGCTGGGCGCAAATTCATCTTTTTCCCCAGTTGATTGTGTCGCAGCTTATTGTGAAAATGCATAAAAACGACGGGGGTATCCTGCAGAGATGTAACAGTCGTGCATCCAGGCTGAGGGAATAGTCTAGAAACTGTTAATCCTGCTGAGTGAAACAAACGTTTCTCAGGAAATAGTTTTTTGTTTTGTCGTTTTAAAGCTTAATTGATCTGTTATTTATTTTAAAGGATGATCTTTTGTCCACTAAGTTGTTTGCACTTTTAAACTAATTGGGTGTATCTACTGTAAGTGATTTTTTGTATTGTGGATTCAGCTTGCAAATGAATGTTTATGCATCTAACTGTGTTTAACTCACTGTGGCTGAGAATAAAGGTTTCTGCTTAAGTCAGTTTCTTTATGTGTTGCATTATTGTGATTGCTTCCAACAAGGTCCTCCTTCCGCTACCTCTGCACATTTCTCTCCTGAAGATGCTGCATAAGAACATCCTGCTTGTGAAGAAGCCGGAGGAGAATAATCTAAATGTGTAATGAGTTCAGCATCAGTGAAATTAAATGGCCTTTCATTTTCCAGAGGACCCCCAGAGGCAGCTGGGAGCATCCCAGTGGGCCCCTCGCCACACTCCAGGAACCAACCTGCTAAACAGACTAATGCAGGGTGGGGAGTCAGCCTTCTCCACGCTGCAAATGGAAGTAAGCGTGTCTGAAGTGAGTGTTTGCTGCCTAGCATGGGTGGGGAGGGTGGGGGCAGGACAAAGAAGTAGGTGGTACTACAAGCTGTTATAAAGATGAGCAGAAATCGGCTCGATAAAAACAGGAAATCTTTAAAAAGTAAAAGCATAGAAGGGAAAATTAATTATTACCCATTAAGGCTTTTGTTTGTTTGTTTGTTTTTATTTACTCAAGCTTATTTAAAAGTTCAGGAACAATTTCTAACCCCTACTTTGCTTTAGGATTAAATCCTCACTTTTAAGGCAGAATAAGATAAATATTTTAGTCAAGAACAAGTTTATATGGGGAGTAATAAAAATAGATATTACTGTAGTAGAAGCTGAGAATTGTCCTAAGAGCTGCAGCTGACAGCAAACTAAAGCTATGATGCAGTCAGACGTGCTAGCAGGCTTTTTTCTTCATTTTTATGCAATTCTATGCGTTATCCATAAATAAAATGGCACATTTGGTTATTTTTAGCTTATGTTTCACGCAGCAGAAAATGACAATAAGGAATTGATTTATTTGAATAAGGAAATATATAAAATACAATTATCTCAGCTATATAGAGTTTAGCTCAGTTTGTTTTTTGGAGAGGTCATCAATAAGTACAAATCTGAGCCATGTTAGGAGCAAATCGATACAATTCAGTTTATTTCTATAGCGCCGATTCACAACACGTCATCTAAAGGCACTTTACAGTTCACCAGTATGGAAGCAAATCGTTACCATATTTCAAATGAAAAAGCATTTTTAAGAAATGCTTTTTCATTTTAAGAATGTGGCTGCATTACTTGGCTGAAATGAAATTAGTAATCAATCATTCTGTTTGCATTTTCATTTTCTTCTTTAAAACCGCTCATCCTTTTACTTAATTAAAATAAAAAAAAGATATTTGAGATTTATTTTTCAAAATGTATCCCAGAAAATACATACCAAAATTCAATTTGAAATGTAAATTTCATTTATGAGTCAAACAATGCAGCCACATTCTTAAAATGGAAATATGGTAAAGATTTGCTTCCATACACCAGATCATCCAGTCAAGTTGATTCAAAGTTTTCTCTCTAATGAAAACCAGTTGATTGCATCGACTCATTGACTCTTCAGCAATCCCTCACACTAAGCATGCTTGTAGCGACAGTGGAGAGGAAAAACTC